TTTTTTTAATTTATTTATCTGTTGATTAGGGCCGGGAGGAAAGTATTGTTGGGTTGGTTACATACCTGCGTTTTCCCTCCCACCCACCCCTTTGCATGCATTTCCGGGTTGGTACAGTGCCACGAAAGCAGTGCCACGTTAGCAACAGTACCACGTCAGCAACAGTGCCACATCAGCAGTGCCACGTCAGCAGTGCCATGTCAGCAACAGTGCCACGCCAGCAACAGTGTCACGTCAGCAGTGCCACGTCAGCAACAGTGCCATGTCAGCAGTGCCACGTCAGCAGTGCCACATCAGCAACAGTGCCACATCAGCAGTGCCACGTCAGCAACAATGCCACGTCAGCAGTGCCCGCCACCATGACGGGCTCCAGCTCTGGGCATGCGAGGCCAACTGGCCAACGAGTCCATTGCCGAGTACAAACAGCGGTTCCAGACTCAGCTCGCACTGATCGAGGCTGAGGAACAGCGCCAGGTGGCAGCCGAGGCTGAAGCGGCGGCAACAGCTGAGAAGCAGCGACTTCAAGCTGAAGCTGAAGCAGATTCCCAGACACGCCGCAAGGAGGCCCATGATCTGCTACAGTGGCATGAAGCCACCAGCATAGAAAAGCTCAAGTTTTGGCACTTTGAACCATCCAAGGAGCACGACGAGCGACACTGGAGGAGCATCACAAGGAATTCATGGCCAAACTTGTGACTAGGTTGGTTTACACTTGTAACCACCTGCAGTCCGAGTTGGCGAACCTCCAGCGGGCCGTATGGAACCACAAGGCTCAACACGAGGATGCAGCACGGGCACTTGATTCCCGTGTACAGGACTTGGAGCAAACTGCACCAAGACTAGAGGCTGGCGAGTCCAGCAGTGCACCCTCTGCCCGCCAACTGGAGGAACGAGTTGACCACGTAGTCGCAATGCTCGACGACATCAATACCTTTGCTGCACCAACCACAATCAGCAACCAGCTAGACACCTTGAAGACCGAGGTTCAGCAACTTCAGCTGCCTAACAAAGATGGCAACACCACGCAGCATTACAAGATGCCGACATTCCAAATCGAGAAGTTCGATGATTATACGCATCAAGACCCGGTCCTCTGGTGGGAGGGCTTTACAACGCAACTTCGGATTCTGTTCGTCGCCAAACACGTGTACATCGGCGCGATGTTCCTCAACTCAAAGGGCGGATGCCAGATCTGGTTGAGCCACCTGGCAACCGTCCACGGCGCCGACGTCGCAGATCTGAAAGATAAGATCTCTTGGGAAGAGTTAACACGACTATGGAAGAAGCGGTTCATCGTGGACGATGCCCCGACGCTCGCCATGAACCGCCTCTTCGCTATGACGCAAGGCAACACATCGACACGTGAATGGCTCACGGAATGGCAAGAGATCGCGGCAACGCCTGATCTTGGCTTGCCATTTTCGCATCTGCGCCGCGAGTTCTACAACCAGTCATGTGCCGCCTTGAGCCTTGCACTTAGTGATCGCGAGCAATACGCGACCTTCGCCGAAATCATTGACAAGGCAAGGGAGATCATCAAGACCACTAGGGCAGCTGCACACGAGAAATCAGCATGGCAGACAACCTATGTGGAAAAGGTGAAAGCTGGTCCGCGGCCGCAGCATGTCGCTGCAGTCCAATCGAACAACATTGTGGAAGACTCGGCAAGCACCCAAGCGTCACGTGAGGGAGATTAGGTGGCTTTTGTCCAGCTGCGAAGCAACAACAAGTCCCGAGGAAATGGGAAGGCGAAAACCGCATCGCCGGCCGGAAACGGACAGCCAACACCATGGCTCAAGTTTCACTTGACCGAGGCGGAATACAAGTGGCGAGGCCGCTACGGGTGATGCTATTGGTGCAATAGCACCAAGCACAAGACCTCCCAATGCCCGGATCAAGGCAAGGAGGATGTTCGGCCTCGTATCAACTCGGGAAACTGAGTTCCGCGGGAGGTGAGGCGACTCCACCTCTCACTCCGCCAGATTCGGCCGCCTTGCTAGCGGCCTTCTACACATCTGGGAAGGATGCGAATGTCGCAAGTTCTCGGTACACTTACGAGGACTATGCTGTCCACTTGGTCCCACCGTTGGACCAACCGCTCCACGTGCAACAATCTATCGTATGCACGATTTCACTATCATCGGCTTCGCCGCCATCTATAATCGGGGATTCAACGATATGGTCAAGACTTGAAGAGCTCGACCCGTTGACGTTTGCGGACTTCCAATGAATGCCCCTTCCCCGGTCCGGTCGATTGCCGAAACCGCATTGCAACGTGCTTATGGCACAATTGCGGGATTACTTGCACACTGCAGTACCAACTTCGTTGATGGACGTTGGAGTAGAGGTTGCCGACCTTCACAATTACATTGCGAAGATCGACCGCGAGTTCAGGACACAACGGTATGACGACATCGACGCACCATTGTTATATGTACGCATTCAGATCGGAAAGGTGACCTGCAGTGCTTTGATCGATTGCGGAGCATCTCGCAACTACATGACCCATGACTTTATGGTACGCGTCGACCTTGACCCACGCGTCCGGGGGAAGTCCCAGCCTACGCAAGTCACGTTGGCGGATGGTCACGCGCACAAGTCAATAGACCGGTGCATAGATGACGTCCCCGTGTACTTTGCCCCGCATGGAAGCGAGGCAGTGTCCTTCGATATTTTGGACACCAAATTCGATATGATCTTGGGCATGTTATGGTTGCGAAGCGAGGATCACTCGGTGAACTTCTATCGCTGCACCGTTCACGCTCGTGATCGGAACGGGGTACTAGTCCCATGCACGGTGCCTCCTCCACACCCTTCGATCAGCTGCCACGTGATGTCTGCCGCAAGCATGCGAGCTTCCATCATCAGAGACGGCATCGAGGAAATGGGGGTGCGTTTTCTCCACGCCCTCCCGCCCCATGACGCTTCATCGACGGACTCATCTTCAGACCCACGCATCACCGAACTTCTCGACGCCTACGGCAACGTGTTCGAAGGCCCGCATGGAGTAGTACGAGATCGGGCTATCCGCCACGAGATCATCCTCGAGGACGGGGTTGTACCTCCGCGTGGTTGCATCTACCGAATGAGCGAGGAAGAGTTAAGTGTGCTGCGGGCACAACTCGACGACCTTTTGGAGAAAGGTTGGATTCGGCCTAGCTCATTGCCATACGGTGATCCCGTTCTCTTCGTCCGGAAGAAGAACAAGGATTTGCTGTTGTGCATCGATTATCGCAAGCTCAACGCGCAAATGGTCAGAAACATCGGCCCTCTTCCACGCATCGACGACCTTCTCGAACGGCCGGGCGGCGCCAAGTTCTTCTCCAAGCTTGACCTCAAGTCGGGATATCACCAACTCGAGATTCGGTAGGAGGACCGCTACAAAACCGCGTTTAAGACGCAATATGGGCATTTCGAATGGTTGGTTATGCCATTTGGCCTTACGAATGCCCCGACCACTTTCCAAGCGGCTATGACAACGGAGTTCTGACACATGCTCGATCGATTCGTACTTATCTACCTCGACGACATCCTGGTGTACAGCCGGAGTTTGGACAAGCATGTGGAACACCTGCGCACCGTTTTGGAGCGGCTATGACAAGCCAAGTACAAAGCCAACCACAACAAATGCGAATTCGCGCGGTAAAAGTTGGAGTACTTGGGACATTATGTGATGCTGCAAGGCATCCGTCCGCTTGCGGACAAGATCGAGGCCCTCCTCGTATGACCCGAGCCCACCAACACCACGGACGTTCGTTCATTCATGGGGTTGGCGGGCTACTATCAGCGATTCATCACCGGGTACTCAAGGATTGTTGCACCTATGACGAGATTACAATCGCCAAAGGTGCCATTCGTATTCGATGACGACACACGCCTGTCATTCCAAACACTTAAGATGGTCATGCTCATGGCACCCGTCCTTAGCATATATAACCCCACTCTGCCTACGAGAGTGACAACTTACGCTTCCGGCTATGGCATTGAGGCAGTCTTGGAACAACACGACGGTGACGACTGGCACCCTGTGGAGTATTTCAGCCACAAAGTGTCTCCCATCAATTCACTTGATGATGCAAGGAAGAAGGAGTTGCTCTCGTTCGTGATGGCTCTCAAGCGATGGCGACACTTCCTCCTTGGGCGTCAAAGGTTCATATGGGTCACGGACAACAACCCATTGACCTACTACAAGACGCAGGATACGGTGAGCAGCATGATCGGACGATGGATGTACTTCATCGACCAATTTGACTTCACACCGAAACATCTCCCCGGCCTCTCCAATCGCGTGGCAGATGCACTCTCGCGAAGACCCGATCTTTGCGCTATGACACATCATGCCTTCGCATTCGACGAGGAACCCCAACGACACTTTATCCGGGGCTATGAGTCTGATCCGGACTTCGCCACGTTGTATGAGCAACTATCTTCGGATCACCCGCCGACCAGCCACTATCGCATTGTCGACGGGTACTTGCTTCTCCACTCAAGAGTCAATGACTTATTATGTGTTCCACGAGATCGTCGTCTTCGGACTCGTCTTCTCGGGGAGTACCATGACTCGCTACTCGCTGACCATTTCGGAGTCAACCGCACTATTGCACGGCTTCGACAACGATTCCGATGGCCCGACTTCATTACCAATGTCACTCGGTATTGCGACTCTTGAGAAGTTTGCCGACGAAGCAAGCCCCGCAATTGCAACCCCTACGGAGAGTTGCGCCCGATGCCTACCCCACGGGAACCCGGCCTCTCCATTGACATGGATGTCACCGAACCATTTCCCCGCGATCGCCTCGGGCTCGACGGCATCCTCACGGTTGTGGACCGTTTGAGTAAGTATGTGTTTTCTCCATTGCAAGTACTACTCCACGGCTCCCGAGCTGGCACGCCTTTTGCACACTAGTTGGATTTGCGGCCATGGTGTACCAGAAGACATAGTCAGCGACTGCAACACTCGCTTCATGTCGACATTTTGGACTGCTCTAATGCAGGAGTCCGACACGAAGATGAAACCAAGTTCGGCTCGGCATCCATAGACGGACGAGCAAACGGAGCGGGCACATCAAACCGCTCAAATGATGCTTTGTACGCTCATCCGTCCGGACCAGAAAGATTCGGTTGACCGCCTCCCCGACATCGAGTTCGCCTACAACACTTCGGTGCACCCGGCGATCGGCGTGACTCCATTCGAGTTGCACCACGGTGGACGGAAATGTCGTATCTTCGTCGACCTTCTCCTCCCACGACCAGCCGACATCGACGTCGCTTGCTCTCCCGCTTCCGTCCGGAAGTACAGGGAATTGCTGGCTCAAGTCCACGCAAATATGCTAAAGGCTCAAGTCCACATGCAACAGCAAGCCAACAGGCGTCGCGTGCCATGTCCCATCTGTGTCGGTGATCTGGTTTGGGTCTCAACGAAAGAGTTTGCACTGGAACAGGATGTTTCACGCAAACTGCTTCCCGAGTGGTTTGGACCTTGGTCTGTGACAGCAGCCGCGGGCGATGAGCCCGATGGCCCTTCATTTGTGATCAACATTCCCCCGCATCTGACAGTCCATCCAGTCTTTCACGCCTCGAAGCTGGCGACATACACACTAGCTAAGAGCGACGACTTCCCGGGCCGACGATCGCATGACCCTCCTTCTATGGATGGTCATCAGGAAGTTGGCCTCGTCATCACAGATCGCAAGTATGGCAGCAAGCCTCGACAGTACAAAGTTACATTCAAAGCATGCGATCCCGACGACACTCGGTGGATTTCAGGAACAAATTTGAAAGCATCCGCACCGCTGATCTACGCTCACTACGAGCGACAAAGGTTAGCTTAAGGACCTTCACGACCTGCCCCTCCCACCCGGACTTTGGTCCCTCCCTCAGACAGACAGCTTCGCCCTCGCATGTAAGCTCGGTCTTTCAAGGAGGGGGGGGTGTGACATACTGCGTAGCCACATGGGCCAGCAGGGCCCGTTCCGCATTCTCAGCCCAAAAGCCTAGAAATAAGGGCTTACAGGCCCCGTGTCGTTTTCGCCTGGAAGACTGAAAACAAGGGCCTGCAAGCCCTATGTCGTTTCAGCCTAAAACAGGGCTTTTCATCCCTGAGGCTTTTTAGCCTGAAACGGAGGGCCACTTTCGGGCCCTCATAAGATCGACATGCCCTAACACTCAGGCACAATCGGGAACAGGCTATTATTGGCCTGTTCCCACGACAGCCTCAGCAGGAGCTGCAGCGGCAGCCCCTGACTCCCTTCGGCATTGGCAAGAGCAGCCTCCTGGACTGCCCCGCCCTGCAGCTGCAGGCAGTCAGGAGGCAGGCCGAGTAGTACATAGGGAGTTCCCATGCACTTCACAGGTAGGTAGTTGAACAGAAGGCAGGAGTAGTCTTCAGGATTCAGCCGCAGCACTCTGGAGGAGCGCTGCAGGAATAGCTTAGCGCTAGCAGTAGTCTTCAGCGTTGGGCGCTAGTAGCAGTAGCAGTAGTCTTCAACGTTGGGCGCTAATAGGTGGTAGTAGTAGTGTTGGAGAGAGATGTCTAGCAGAGGCCTGTAAGACTTACCTGTGGCGCCATAGCTCCAGCTCCATCTTCGAGGTACATGCATCAAGGCGCCAGCTTTACAGGTTAGTACCGGACTAAGAGAGAGAGAGAGAGAGTTCTTCTTCTTCCTCTTCTAAGTCCACCATTTTATCTTCACCCTCTCACTACCTGACTTCTCAGTACGGCGGACTACGACAGAGAGAGAGAGAGTTGTGACTTGAGACTTGACGACATTGGATCCAGACTCGACATTGGGATTCAGACATTTTGACGAGGGACTATTTGAGCTTGTGCCGAAGACTTGGTGTTGACGACATTCCCATCTTCCCCTCTTCTTCGTCTAACCCCCCTCTTCTTCATCTGTGTATGGTTGGGGCTGGCGCATTCTTCCTGTGTGAGCGTAGACCCCTTCACACCATGGAGTGGTGATGATGATGTATGTTCGGGGCTGCATTGCAATATTGATTGTTCGGATCATTGGTATCTAAGTCTTCCGCTACGCTATCTTGTACTTTGTGAGAGAGGTCAGTTCTTGTTCTGGTCTGCACCGTTA